GCAGCTCTTTCCTTGTGCTCCCCAAGAACGTTTTTTTTTTCCTCCCAAGCTGTTTTCTGTGCCCTCCATTCATCAGATTTTAGAATGTATTTTTTTGGGGAGGGGCGAGTAGGTGTAATGGCAGGTCCATCTTTTTGACAGCCGGGGAGAGCGAGGCTGCCTGTCAGATGGTGAATTTAAACAGAGGCAGCTGTTGTCATGGTGACGCCAAGTTGCATCCTGTTGCTGTGGCAACCAAAGTTAAAAAACTGATGTTAAGGCAGGAGAATCACATGATGTGGTTCTTTTTTGTTTAAAAAAAAAAAAAAAGGAGGAGAGGAGAGAGATTTGATTTCCAGGGTGAGGTGGGGGAGAAGGAGACGCTTCTCCATGGAGCTGTTTGCACGTGGCAGGCAGGCACCCCGCATCCCACATTCTGCATCCCTACGGGAGCAGCAGCAGTAGTGTGGGCAGTTCTGCCCTGTTGGACTCCTGGCTGTCACTGCCTGCAGTTTAGCCCCTGATGGAGACCAAACCACCAGTTTTTGGAGTCATAAGCACCAATATATGTGGCTTCAGTGGCGAGTGTGATCTCCCTAGTTGAGGCATGTCCATGCAGTGGCATGTAGGCAGGCTGGATGCTCTGTGCCAGCTGTGCAGGGACATGAACAGAACCTCAAGCTCACTTTCCTGAGCCTGTGTGTAACAGGCACACAGGAACTGGCTCATGTTCAAAGTGTAGTGGGAGGATTTGGGGTTTGGGCATCACTTTCTCTTGACCCCAGCACAGCATGGATGGGCTGGGAGTGCTGAGTGGCAGGACACAGGGATAGGGGCAGCCAGGAGGGACTGCAGCTCTATGGCTGCTTGAGGACACTAGATAGTCTTATTGGTAGGGGAAGATCCCTTGTATCCTCAGGGACGAGCCAGGGAGGTGCCATGGGGCTGGAGAATCCCAGGGCTGAATTAGGACCACTCACAGGCTTTGCCCTGTGTGTCACTTTCAGTTTTTCTTGGTAACCAAAAACTTATCTTCCCTTGCCCAGAGAAGTTGTGGACTCCTGTCTCTGTTAATGTTCTAGGCCAGGCTGGATGTGGCTCTGAGTGACCTAGTCTAGTGGAAGGTGTCCATGCCTATTGCAGGGGGATTGGAACTAGGTGATCTTTAAGGTCCCTTTGAACCCAAACCATTCTGTGATTCTATATGAAAATAGTCTTGGAGGGGAGATGCTCTCTTTCTTTCAGGGGTAGGTTGATGAGAGGAGGGGGATGCAACAGGATGCTGGGATTGGGACCAGCAAGTTGAAGTCCACAGGTGTAGGAACAGAAGCTCCTGCTCATTGACACCTGGGGAGCAGGGAAAGTCCCTCAGAGCCAGCAGGTCCTCTGAAAAGCCGGGCAGAGGTGGGAAATGGAGACATGAGTTTCTAGGAGATGTTGGAACTTGGCTGGGTGATGCAGGCAGGGTGAGGGGTTAAACTTCTCCTGCTTTTCTCGCTGGCACTCAGAGGTAGGATTCATCAAGAGCCCTTTTGGAGATGCCCATGTGGCCTCACTCTTCTGGCTCTTCCACTCCTTCCCTACTTGCTTGCCCAGGAGTCGGGAGAAGGTATGGTCACTGATGTGATTGAGAGGAGCTCTCCACAGCTCCTGTCCCTTACCCACATTCGGGGAGGGATTTATCTCGCACTCAGCCTCTTGGGGAGTTCACATCAGTGTGCCATCAGCACCATAAATCCATCTTCAGGGCTTGGACCTGGGCACACTTCCTGCCTTAGCAATACAGGTGTTCTGGAAGGGCTTATTTGGGCTTCTGGTTGAAGAGAAAGGTCACAAATTGAAGCAAGAATCTGTGGGTGGCTGGATCTCCCTGCCAGATCCATCAAGGAGCTCTAGCTCCAGGCATGGGGTTAGCCCACAGTGCCTGTTCCAGGTGGTCTGGAACATGTGTCTGGGGGGAGTTCACATGGCCTGGGGTCATCATTCCCACCTCAAAGGCACCAGGAGGGAAGCATGGAGCTGCAGGTGTGGTGTGCACAGGGATCGGCCGAGTTGCTAAGGAAACAAGTCAACGGTGCAGGGGAGAGAGCATTGGGTAAAGGAGATAAATCAATAAGAAAACCTATTTTTATCGGCTCCCTAATGATCCTCCAGGAGAAGCCAGACGAAGGAGGAGGAGAAGGCTGGAGGGAGATGGGCATTCATTACTGGGCTTGGAGGGAGGTGAGGGCTGCTGTGTTTTGGGTTACTGGAAGGTTGTGTAATTAGGCATCTAATGTGAGAGAACACAAAGCACGGATAGAACGTTGTTTGGTGGGCTCTGGCCCTGAGCTGGGAGGATGCTTGCTTGGCAAAAGTGAAGTATGGGGATAAAATACCCCTTAGTTCAGCCAGGTGTTCCTGTTGTCCCTGGGGAGGGTTTTGTTACTCTTGGCCTTTCAAACCGTGGCACAGATGGAGCTACAGGGGCATATTTCCATGGGGTTGATGTCTTGCAGCTCTCACACAGTTCTGGATGTGATAACCCAGGCTCAGCTCCTTGGAAAACTGGTCCAGTGTGGTTTGGAGAATTACTTTTGGTATTAACCACTAGTGTTTAGGGCAGCAATTGCTCTTTTAGATTCAGCTGGGTTTGATGAGGCTCTGGGAACCCTGGTCTAGTGGAAGGAGTCCCTGCCCAGGGCAGGGTGGTTGGAATGAGATGGTCTTTAAGGTCCCTTCCAATCCAAACCAATCTATGATTCTATGATACCTGCTCACCCACAAGCCACATACTTGTTGGAGGTGGAGTGGGGATGTGGTCCTGTGCTGGGGCTGTGACAGATGTCCACTGTCTCTGTTATTGAGCCAGATGTTGATGCCAGCAAGGAAATACAGGGACAAGCTGAGCCATTAGAAGTGGTCCTGAGCCCCTCAGGCACTGCTGGGCAGGTCTGCCCATGCTGCTGTCTTTAGAGAAGTTGGATTTTTTCCCACCTGGGTGTTTCCCCCGTGGGAACAGTGGACGCGGTGGGGAGGAGTGTGAGATGCTCAGTGGGTTTAGCCATGCTGGGGCAGACAGACGGACTCGCTGCGCTGTTCCCACACTTCTCATCTAGGCAAATGTGCCTTGTGCCTGGGGAGCTGGCTGCACTGCCCCACTAACACGCTGTTTTTCTTTTAAGCTGGTGCTAATTGCTCGCAGACTTTCAGGAAAATGATACAAAAAGATCCCGAATAGGCTGGTGGCTCAGGGCCAAGTGCCTCGGTCTGCCGATCGGCTCAAGTGTGTGGCCAGGGGCAGGAAGCAGGGTAGGACGTGGCTTTCACAGGAACCATGCAATGAAATCCTCACTTTGTGTGAAGCCTCAGATGAAAACTTTTGGGGTCTGGCCCACCTCCCCAAGCACAGGGAGCTGCTCATGCTTCATGCCTGGCTGGCAGTGAGGTCCAAACCGGCAGCAGTGAGCTCTGTAGCTCTTTGGGTTTGCCTCTAACTTAGTGGCCATTAATTTCCCTGAGTGGCCTTTTAAATGCCTTGGCTGAATATTTCCTGGCTCTTCCTCCTGCCTGGCTAAATACATCCCAGCTCCTGCAGGCTCTCCTTGGCTGCCCCTCCTGGTCAGCTCTCTGGGAACCTGCTCCAATGCCCATCTCTGCTTCTACCTTGCCCGTGTGCCACAGTGTGCTTGGGGTCACTGCTGCTGGGTTCACTTCATGGTTTCCTGTTTCCCATGCTCGTGGCCAGCACTGGGGTGTCTTCTCTTGCCCATGGACTCAGGACCACTGGTTTGAAGCATTTTGCTATAGTTAGTGGCTGAAAGGCAAGGTTGCAAAAGAGAAAATCACCCCTTTTCCCAGGGGTAATGGCATGGGTGTTGGGCACCTCTTGGTCTGAGCAGTGTGAGCCTAAAGGTTCCAGGTATGGAGAATACTGGTGCGGTGGGAAAGGGCTCAGCTGGGGTGCTCCTGCCCATGCTGGCTTGGGATGGTAGGAGTGTGGATGATTTCTGCCTGGGAAAATCCACCCCAGGTGGGATCACACCCCCTTTCCATAGACACAAGCCTTGGGAAGGTGGAAGTCCCTTCCCAGGGGTCACTGCTGGTGCCAGTGATGACACTAATAGAGCTGTGGGTTTCTGGCACAGAGGAAGAGAAGCAGAGGTGTGCTGCCTGCTGATGAATTGCTCCACATTTTGTTATTGAGTACAAGAGGGCTTTTATTGCAAGGATGTGGGAAAGATGGATGGGAAGTTGGAAAGATATGGCCATCCTTGTCACTTGCAAGTGCTTTGTTTTCAGGGCTCGGCAGTGGGCCAGGCAGGAGGAGGGAGCTCCATGTCCCTGTCTTGATCCCATGAATCAAAAGGCATGAGGGAGCTGAGTTTGGGGGTTCTTTCCTGGGCATCAGCCTGCCCTTTCCTTCCCCTCCCGCTCAGGTGCCCAGGTGCCAAGTATCTGTTGTGACTTGTCCAGGTGTGGGATTGCTCCAGAAGAAAGGTGTGCAAGACCTAGATGTGGGTGTAGGATTTAGGATGCTCCTAACGGTCCAGCCAGACCCTGTTGACAAGGTGCTGCTACCCCTTGGAGTCTTGCTGAGGTGTGGCTGAGCTGGTATATCTCCACAGGGAGTTTCCCTTCTGTCTGAACTGAAGCTCAGACCCACATGCCATCAGTGTCTTGAGCTATGAGTGTTTAGCCATGTGCTCTGCAGCTCCCAGTGCTACCTGGGCACATCCTGCTGCCCACAGTGTGCTTGGCAAGGTCACGTCCACCTCAGGAAGGAGGTGATGAGGCTCAGCAGGTCTCCAGTGAGGAAGGTCTTGGGGGCTTTCAGTTCTCTTGTCACACCTCTCATTTCCAAACAGCAGCAAGGTGGGCTTCACCCTTCTACCTGGGAGCAGGAGAGGTGAAAGCCAGGCCATGTGTGTGCGTGTTCAGGTGGGGAAAGCAGTGGTGGTGGAAACCAAGGATGGGTAGGGGTGGGCTGGTGGGTCAGGAATGTCATCCACTTCCTCTCTGCTCCTTAACTCCCCTCCACTCCCTTCGAGTACATGATCCTGGCGACCATCATTGCCAACTGCATCGTGCTGGCCCTCGAGCAGCACCTCCCTGAGGATGACAAGACACCCATGTCACGGAGATTAGTAAGTACCCTGTGTCTATCTCTCTCTGCTCTGCATCAGTGGGCTGGTGGGTGAGCAGGGGCATCAGCCAAGAGGAGCCACAGAATCCTACTAGGCAATTTCTTCTGTTTTCAGGGTGGTAGATTAGGAGGTTTCTTCTGGGACCAGCTGATCCAGCCTTCCTTGGGGCTACTGTAACTTATTCCTTCTCTACAGAAAGGGTTCAGGGAGGTTTAAGCCCCTTAAAAAAATGTGGAGTAGGGAAGGACTGGGCAACCTGGGTGGGTCATAACCACCCTTTTTTCTTTTCCGAGGTTGATACTGGCTGAGAAAGGGCTGGGAAAGCTCCCAGTGGAGAGGATGGGTCTGGGAAAGGTGGGATGGGACATGAGTAGGGTCAATGTGAAATGGCTAGTGTGCTGTGTTTGACTAATCTTCCCCTCTCACCATATCACCCATTCCCCTCTGGCAGGAGAAGACAGAGCCCTACTTCATTGGGATTTTCTGCTTCGAGGCTGGGATTAAGATCGTGGCTCTGGGCTTTGTTTTCCACAAGGGCTCGTACCTGCGCAACGGCTGGAACGTCATGGACTTCATCGTGGTCCTCAGCGGGTGAGTTGGGTGACTCGGGGTCACTGGTGGAGTTGGGCAGCTGGGCCTGGAGGCTTGTCCTGGTGGAGACACGAGATCCAGGATGTGGGGCAAGGCCCTGGTTTGCTGTTGTTGTTGGTTCTTCATTCCAACTGGAAGGGAGGAAAGGATGGTTTCCCATGCTGGAGGCTCTTGTTTTGGCTTTGCTATGGAGAGCTGATGGTGGGACAAGGTTTCCCATCAGGCAAGGAGGGCTGGCTATGAGGGCATCATATCTAGCTTTTCTTAGCTGGTGGCCTGTCACCCACCTGAACATGAGGCAAGGTGGGGGCATGACCTGATAAGCGACTGGATGTGATCTGAGAGAAATTTTGGTCAAACCCTTCATGGGGAAGGGGTAAATCTCTTCTTCTTTTACCTTCTCAAGCACTTCACAGGCTTGGTCAGTGCTGTGGGTTTGAGAATGAGGTTTGAGTGGGGTTGCACTCCCAGGTGATGCCTGCTCAGCATCCCAAACATGCAGCAGCCATGCTAGGGGTGGTAGCACACAAAGCTTCATGGGTGCTGCTTGTGTCACTGGTGGTGTCACCTGCCAGGGATGTGGCCCAGATTTGAGTCCTGCTTGTGGTGTGATGGGCTGTGCTGGTGACATAGGAACAAACAGGGGCATTTGGGCTTGTGTTGGCCAACACTGGGAATTGGCTGGAGCTCTCCAGGGTGACTCCCCTGGGTCCCTTGCAGTGTAGAGGGCAGGTGTGTGCCTGTAGCCACTGAAGTCCTTGGATTGTGGCCATGTCTGTTTGCATGCTGATGATAATGTCACGTTCAGAAACGCTGGTTTGATGTGTACAAACAGATGGTGCCTGTGGATCTTCAACTGCTTTGTGAGCTCTGCTGGGTGTAGAACTGCTGCAGGGCTGTATGGGAAACTGAGGCACAGAAGCTAGGTGAGATGCTTGGGGTCTCTACAGAGTTGCTTGCTGCCTAGTCGTGTCACTTGGCTTGGAGTTTGTTGGCACCATGTGGGATGTGACAACCATTTGGGTGTTTGGAGGAGGAAAGGGAATGCTGAGCCTGGAGCTGCCAGGAATGTGGTGATGGGTGCTGCTTGTCCGTAGTGGAGAGGTGCAGGTTGGGACTGTGCTTGAGGAGAACATGATCAGGAACATTTTGTCTCTCATGGTCCAACAGAGACCTAGATGGCCTCGCTGGGGAGTGGGACCCTGTCTGCCTGTGATGGCAAGGTGTGCTGGTGGTGGGGTGATGCTTCTGGTGGGCAGCAAACAGGCTGCCTGTGGGTGATGCAGTGATCACACAGGATGCTGCTACTCTCCTGCATCTGCAAAGTGACTCATGGGGGGACTCCGTTGCTCCTGGGCAGGGCAGAGGTGGTCACACCTCTGAGGACAGCATGGGACACATGCCATCCCTGGTAGCACCAAGAGAGGCTCTCAGCCTCGCCGTGCAGCTGTGGTGCTGGGCTGAGTGTGCAGGTAGCTGCTGGGTGGCTGGGACATGCCCACTGGGCATCTCCTGGTCTGTGCATCCTTTGGGGCATGGGCCACGGGGAAGCACTGGGTTGGGAGGAGGGTTTGCCACGGACCTCTCGCGCTGCCCTCCCCGCGGCTCCGGGTGAGCTGACTGTAACCGAGCCGGTGCTGAGTCAGCGCTCGGCAATTACTCACTCGCAAAAGCCTCGCCAGCTCCTTTCAGTGCCGCGCCGGGCCCCGTGCCAGGGAATCAATTGTCCATGAAGGGCTGGGAGCACCGCACTGCCCGCCCTGTCGGAGGTACCCGGGTCCCCCCGGCACTGCCAGTACCAGGGTACACCCTCCAGGGTTTGCTTCCCCATCATCATCCCCATCGTATCCTGGTGTTTGCTCCAGCAGGATGGAACCTTCCCCAAGAAATGCCTGGTGACCTGCTGGCTTTGCCCCAGTGGTGCTGGTGCCCGCTGGTATGGTCTCACTGACCTTTTGGTGCAAATTCTATTGTATGATGGGTGGAGGAGGCAACGCACAGATTTTCGTTGGGGTCTGGTTTTGGGGAGGTCATTGCGGGATCACCTGAACCAGGTCATGAGCTCCTCTGTGCTGTTCAGCTCTTGCCACGTGGTGCTGCCAAATCTGCTGTTCCTTGGTGCCATGGTTGCACCTCCCTTGCAAGAAACTCTCGCCTGTTTAATCTGCTGAATTATTGGCAAATTTCTGCAGCAAATAATCCTTGGCTGGCAAATGACTTGCAAACAGCTTGTGGGAGAAGGTTTGCACTTGGCGGTTCATGCTGTGTCGGTTGCGTAAGGCGGGTGGTGAAGCCTGCACAGGGGACGTGTGCAGGCGACCGGCGAGTTTGGGATCGTCTCTGCAGACTAAAACTTTCCACTAGATGAATATGTGAGTGTCTGGACAGAGATTTGTGAGAATTAATAGTCGTGGGATCTTGTTGTGACTTATCAAGAGGTAGTGGCTCTTGTGGAGGAGATGTTGTGAGCATCAAGAAGTGTAGGGGAACGATTGCCAAGGGATGTGCTGAGAAGTTTGGGTTGCTGATGTATCTCATGGTGATGGAGCAGAGAAGATATCCATGTGAGCAGGACCCACCCCAGGACCTATCTCTGATGGATCCAGTCAGACCCAGCATCACACTCATTGGCCCTTGTCCCTCTAGGTGTGTCACAGGTTATTACTTTTCCTTTCTGGACTTATTTTTTGCCACATATCTGATGGGAAAGCTACTTAATGGAGGTGACATCATGGTCCTAGACACCATGTTGGGATTTCCATGACCAGTGGGATTTTCTGCACACTCTCCCTGGTGTAAATTAGCCTAATGAGGGGCTTCTCCTGTGAGCAGCCTCTTGGGACCCTGTGCAGGAATGGATGGCACTGACTAGGGTTCAACTGGTGCTTGCTTCTTGTGTCAATAAATCAAATTTTTTTCATCTCAGTGGGAATCAACGCCCACCTAAAACTCCCTGATGCTAAAACTTCCACTGGGGAACTAATAGTCACATTTGTAAACCCGCTCTGTTTATAACCTGTGGTTTCCATATCATCATTGCTGCCTGAAAAAACAGCCTGTTCTCCACCAGCTAAAAATAATTTTATCTGAAAAGGTGCATAAAACACCTTTACTCGTGCCAAGGCAGAGACAGGGAGGTATTTCCCCTGGGGATTGGGAATATTCACCTTGTCTGTGCATGAACCAGTGCTGGCCTGGCATTGAAGCTGGAATTGTGACCTGCTTGATGCAGGGTGTCCTGGACCAGAAAATAGGAAAATGGCTCAGAAATGGTCAGAAAAGGCAGTGGGAGGAGGTTGGTGACCTCTTAATTGGTGGTCCTGAGGGTGTGAGATTGAGGGAGCTTCACTCATCAGCAACTGGAGCATTAGCTCCCTGCTCCCTGGGTGTCATTAGGAATAGAGAATGAGGATCCTGCCTTGCCCTACACTGTATTTGAAAGCACTCTTGGAATAGGAAGGGTTAAACTCCCTCTGCAAATATCCAGGTGGGTGTGTGCTTCACACACTCCAGTGCCTGAGCATCATTGCACCATTGGCTTTTTTTATAGCAGTAATACAATAACACGTGAGAGGTGAAGGGGTGGGGGGAAAGCTGCTAACAATGGGGAAAAAAATCAAAATGGAAATCAAAAGGGCCTTGTGAAGTTGTGCTGCTCAGGAGCTGGGAAAGCAGCTGCTGTAAAACCAGGATAAATACACCGGGGTCACTAAAAGGAAGAGCTGGCGTCAGGGTTTTTCGGAGGGTTTAATAACAGCCGCTACACCTGGGTGCCTTTTGTGAAGCCCTTGGGCACGGTGGTTTTCATTAAGGGATTTTGTGGGGTGGAGCGTGGCCAAGG